GCCGGGGCGGTACAGATCTCTCGGACATCCCGGGCGCCCTGACCGCCTCCGGAGGTCAGACCAGGAACTCACGGACCCGCTGGGCGCGCTAACCGCCGGGTATATCTGCCCCGTGGGAGGCCGGTGACGGGTCGTCAGGCTCGGCGGGGGCGGCCGGCCGACCCTCCCCCGCTGCCGCCTCCCGTATAAATCATCGCAGCGGACGCGTGTAACGAATGGCCTCATTAGTGCGGCCGCCACAGCCGCCGCCGACATTATGTTTGCTGACGCGCTGTCGCCGCCCGATGAAGCCGTGATTGGGCTTTGTCTGCGGACCGTGCCCTGCATACGGCTGGCCCCGGCGGCGGCCGCTCGGCGCCGCCCCGCTGCGCCGGCTGCCGGCCGCCGGGGTGCCGTGCCGCGCCGGCCGGCCGGCCGGGGTGATACCGATCGGCGCTGTGCAGGCTCACCATTAGCCGGCCATTGTCTCCGGTCCGACTGTCACGCGGCTGGCGGCACATCGCTGCGACGGGCCGGTGTCGTCCCGGCCCCGCGACCGGTGTCTGGAATCCGGCCGTGCCGCCCCGCAGTCGCGAGCCAGTCCCGACCGGTGCCGCCCCGCAGTCGCGAGCCAGTCCCGACCGGTGTGTCCCCTGGCCCCCAGTAGTGTCACTCCCTTCTCCAGTCTGACTCGTGTCACCTAGTCCTGACTGGTGTCTTTCCTTCCAGCCTGAATGGTGTCACCCCTCCTTCCGTTCGACCTGTGTCACCTGCAGTACTGACCAGTGCTGTCCCTTCAGGCCTTCAATACCCAAAATGACCTCTGTAGTCGGTGCGTTTTAAAGCCCCAATAATCAAATGTCACCTTCTCCAGTTCCGACCGGTGTCACCTCTTGGGACAGATGTCCTAAAGTACCGTCTCAGCGTCCCTGCTCCAATGGACGTCCTTCCCTCCACTGTCGATCGAACGGACCATGTCAATCACATGATGCATCGGCTGACCATACCGCCGACATACGGCCGTGTGCGATGCTCTGAGAGTCGTGACTGTGGCGTTGTTGGGACCGGTCGGGGCCGGGCTCCCAGCGGTCGGTCTGCTCCGCTGACCCAGCTACCACCACTGACTCATTGGTAAAACACCTGGGTGAGAGGCGACCGTTATGGCCTATCCCGTGCTTGAGGGTTTGATGGTCTACCTGTCTAATTGCCCCATGACAAGGCTGTTGCTAAGGACGCATAATGACCTCGTTATCGACGCGCTCCAAAACCACCGACAAACAACCAGGGTGGTGCTGCTGATTGAGAGTGTGAAAGCCCTCGCTCGGGAGGAATCATATCTGCTTCACTGTAGCGGTGGTGGCGCCGCGCTGGTGAGGACTCCCGTCCTGCCCTGGTGGTGCTGCTCACTCCTCAGTGGGAGGACAGTGCCTGCCGCCGTCAGCCGGAGAACAGCAGGGGTCCGGCACGCCCCGTCTCTACAGCCCTCTGCCACCGCGTGAGCTGCGTACCGAGCTGTACAGCAGCGGCGGGCTGCCCGTGAGCCGGCGACGAGCCGCGATGGATCGGCACTTCACGGCCTCTGCGGGCCCACATCCGTCAGTGTCCGTCGGAGTGGACGGTGGACTGCGGGCGCGGTGTCGGAGCGGGCTTTGACTGAAGGTGCGGTGTTGTAGGAGGTTCAGCATCGCCCTGACGCGGGGCACGCCGCCGTGGGACGGATGACTCAAACGAGCAGTTTTCTCCGACAGTCGGACTCGGTGGCTATCATATTGTTTGTATCGAGTCGCAATATGTGCGTCTCCGCCTTCACGCATAGCCCTCATAATCGGTAATTTTGACGGACGTTTATGATATGCTTTCTGAAGAGCAGCGCATGTGTGCTGCCTGCTGGCGCATTGTGATCAATTTGGATTGACACAGTGGTTTTATTGTTACTATTAGTCCCCTGAGTGGTCCTCTTCAGGTCTCCCGGTCACCTGGGTACCCACAGTCTAGGTTACGGACTGTGTGCACCCTAGGCTGGATTTGTGCGCACCTTCACAATCCAAACCAGTCCTTCCTGTGATCGCCTGACGGCCACCCTGTGTCGTGGATTACCCTTCCCCTCTGCGTGCGGCGCGCGGGCCGGCCTTGGCCCCGATGTGCGCGCCCACCGCCCTCCTCAGAATGACCGGGTCAACTTCACGATGCAGCCAACATAGGTGGTGAAAGTGTGCCGTGAAGCAATCTTACGACGGTGGACGCACACCGGTGCGACACAGCCGCTCCCGCGCGCTCCTGATCAGAAATCCACCCCCAGTGCAGACGGTCGGGTGTACCCGCCCGCTCAGGGAGAAACTGGTCCGCTCGCCGCTGCTGCACCGTGTCGTCTGCGGGACGCACGTCGGCTATGGTGATCAGCGATTCTGCGAGCGGCTTGGCCCGACAGCCGCTCTCGAGGCGGAGTGATGTCCGGCTCTGCATGGGCACGTGGGTGTCTGCAGATTCATGCGCGGGTTTAATGCGGCCGCTGCACCCGGCTGCGCAGTTTGAGTGCGGGCGAACTCACCGAGAGTGCCCCAGTTGCATAGTGAGAGGGTAGGTGCGGGCAAAGTGAGACCGAATCTAGATCAACTGTTATACACAGGCATAGATGAAGAGACGGGTGTGGTTTGAAAATGACTCATGTGTATCTAGCTGTGCCCCGATAGGCGCTATCTGGAGAAGTCGCTGACGTTTGATTGGCCTCTGGCCATCCTGGTGACGCATTTTTCTGTCGCGATAGTGCAGGGGTCAGTGACGTTTATCGCGTTATTTGTCACGACATACTATTCTACTGTCGTTAGTTGGCAGTGTCTCAATTCGATCGTAGTAGCGGTGGTGGTCTGCCGCAGATAACTTCTCCCCTCATTCCGGATATCGCTATGGATATATTTTTAATAAGATGTCTTACATACGAACTCAGGCGTGTAAATGAGATTACCATTAACGGGTGAATTGCTTATCCTCGTTTTTTTATGACTAGCCTACGAATAAGTCCTACGCTCGCCTCCTTTACATTTCAGTTGGCTTTCAAGGATACTAAAAGCTTGTTTTTAAAATAGCTGCGCTAAAACCATGGCGTCCCGTTTGTGATAGCCACAAAAATACGTTGTGCTCGTTGACATTATCTATCAAAAACTCCTGGAACTTTTGCCAGTACCATCGCCGATTAACTGATTTTTATCATTTGAATCATCTGCAACTCAGCCCTAATGTCATATGCAAAACAGACAATGCCACAAAGCTAAGTAGTCGTATCCTCAACCGCCTGCAGAAATTGCGACAGCAGCCTAGCATGACTTAACTTTTGTACTTATACCTTACCAGGATGTTTCTGATTGATAAAAATAGATTAGATACATATCAACAAATATCTCAACTTTGAGTGTGGTTCTCCTCGACAGACTTTGGTTGAGGCGTTTATCATCGTTTCGAAGCAAATCTTGTGCATTTTTGAATAGTCTGACTGACCATTTAAAATCTCAGCGATTTGAATTGTTCAGCCCATCACACTTGGGTGCATCACATACTCGCAAACAAGTCAACCTGCATTTAATATTTGTCATCTAGACTCTTGCCATGATCAATATTGTGCACATCAACACATCACGTGCAATACCCCTGATTTTATCCACCTCTCTCCCTTCCACCTTCCTCGCCGCCGCCGTCGCCGCCGTCGGCCGCTGCGGTCCGCCGACGGGTATGGGTCCGTCGGTGCCGTCGGGCCGGGCCAGCGCCGAATTTGGGCGTCGGCCGGCGCGCCGCCATACGAGAGATCAGGTTGCCTTTGCCGGCTGGCCGCAAATAGCTCGGCCGGGCGCGGCGGCTCGCCAGCCGCCGGCCGGCCGGCCGCTTTCGGTTAATTTTAGTCGGCCTGTGACGGCGCCCTACGGAGCCGGTGCAGGTCGCTGTGCCGCCGAGTTGGCACCGGACCGGTGGGTGCCGCGCCGCCGGGGACTGCCGCCGCCGCCGACAGACCGGTGGTTTCCGGGTTCGTCTCGACGGGATGATGGGACACGCGCTGGGCACGCGGCAGGCGTGTGGTGGGGGCCGGGAGCACGTGGTGGCGGGTGGGAATAGTTTGAGCCCACACCTGGGCGGTGTTTCACGGGCTGCTGCTACCACGCTGCTATCAAATTGCGCGAGCTGACGTCACACTTGTGGTAGTGTTGGAGCAATGGGCCTGTTGATGTCTCCATGGAAACGCAATTTGACAAGTCGTAAAATCGGCGTGCTGCTATCACCGGTGAAACAGGGCCCTGACCGAGAGCCGAGAGGGAGGGCGTCTGACAATGTCAGAGGTCAACTATCCCGGTGGGACATTCCATTCCGGGTAGTCACGATGTTAATTTGGCTCGGCGCTATGATTAGCTCGGAGGTTGGCCGTCGTTAGGTAACCCAGAAGCTTCATCTCGGAGCAGCGGAGACCGGGCTAGCCTCCGGCCGGGGCGGGGCGGTGCTCTGTGCAGTGTGCACTACACACTTGCTGCTACGGACGCGATGGTTGTCTGTTGGTGCATGGATGGAGCATGGGGTGTGATGGTTACGTCAGAGCATGATAGGGCGTATGGGGCATGCAAGGGGTAAATATTGGTGTTGAATATTTGTCATGATTATCTGCTCGTGTCTTTTCTTACATTGCACGCCCCTGATTAGAAATGTCTTTGTGGAGCTCCAAACTTTTTGTTGTTTTATTTGGTACTGCTCGAATGGACCCTTCCAAATTATGACTGTTGATTGGCCTCCGGTGATGATTATCAATATTTTCACTTAGAATCTGCCTTGTGAATACCAAAACAATACCCCACCATTCGTTATAAGAAACATTCATCATTGCAAATTAATATATGCGGTAGGCGTTATCTATTTTTTATAACTAAATTCCAAGTGCTTACTACCTAGTGCCCTTCCCTCCTTCTCATAGTAATCAGATCTGCAAATCATACTTACCTCCCCCAGCCCGCGAGACTGACGCCCCCCCCCCGTGTGTCTTCTCTCAGGAGGAGTACGAGGAGGACGGCGTCGAGGAGGTGGAGGATGACGAACAGGAGCAGAAGCCCAGTAACGGCTTCTACGGCCATGCGCCGCAGCTGTCGGAGCCGTCGGGAGCCGTGTCGGTGGCGACGGTGATGCCGGCCGCCGTCAGCCTCACGCCGGTCAGGGGAGTCGGTGAGTGCGGTGGTACGGATATACGGGACGGCGGGTACGGTTATACGGGACGGTCGGTGAGTCGATAATTTAACCCGCGCACCGACGGGGGGGGGGGGGCGGATATCCGCCCCCCCCCCTGAGGTTTTTCGCCGATAGCGGGAAAACCGCGTCACCAGGTCACTTTGAATGACCCAACCTCAAGTCACTTTTTTGCAACTTTGTCACCGTGCCAGAGCTACAGTAGATGTCGGAGGCCTTTGAAAGTCGCAGGATGTTATTAGGTCATTAGTAGCTACAATTTGTATATCTCGGAATTTTGATGTCGGTGACCTAAGGTCAGGTCAATTTCGCGACATCCCCATTATAAGTCAATGGGGGAAAAATCAACTCCCTGTTTTTACCACTAAAACGGGTCGGAATGGCCCCATATACCACACATGACTTCATATACGATCAACCTTCACTACCTTGAGGTCTGTTTTGCTGTTGGGCAGCTGTAAGGTCATGTGACGTCATCAAAGGTCACCAGCGGTTTTTTGCCAATAACTCCGTACAGGAACAAGATACAGCCGCGCGGATGGTCTCATTGTGTTCAGCTCGTCAAGACGGATCGAATGATATACATGATGCCCTCGAGGTCACGTGAACTGAGGTCAACCTTTGACCTTGACCTTTCGAGGTCAACATATATATCATTTGATGCGGATTGACGAGAGGATCACGATGATGCCCTTAGTTTGATCCAATCTTCACGAATTCGAAAGTTATTCGAGAAAAACTCTCTCCATATCTAGCGCCGCCGTTTTGACTTTTTCGACCCCTGTGACGTCATCTTTGACCTGACCTGAAAATGACCTTTGTAAAAATTGTAGATCTTGACCGTGCGTATCCGATGCCGTTTACCGCTTGTCGCTATCTTGCTTCGTTCTCGAGATCTCAGGGGGGGGGGGGGCGGTCATCCGCCCCCCGTCGGTGCGAAGTTGGCGCAGACCCCCGTCGGTGCGCGGGTTACGGGCTTAGAGTCGTTAGATAAGAGTGGTTTGGAGTTGATGATGGAAAGAGTGGGATTAGTGATTGATGAGCTTTGCACTTTCTTGTCTTTTATTCAGTAGCCTTATGCTAATTTTGAGTGGGAAACTAGACAGAGAAAACTGGGTAGGGAGTAGTCAAGCTCACCCAAAACCTTCAACACTCCACAAAACCTCGCTATCTGGGCAAGGAACTAACGCTGGCGACCGATGGCCCGCCTGGGTGGCCGGGTGAGTGGCCCAACGACAGCCAATCACGATTGGTGGCCTGCCTATGCCCCTACATGGAATATAAAACAGCGATGGATCGGCTAGCCTCCCGCTGATGTATAAACAAATCAGCTGCTCGGCTGCTACCAGCGGCGTCGTTATGTTACCGGTCTGACCGGGTGCGGTGTGAGATGGCACAGACTCGCCGCGGCCAATCTCCATATACGGCGCGTATTGTCCATATTTCTCCTGTGTTGGATAAGCGCGAACACCGGGGAGGACAGTTTGCGATATTTATCGGCCCAGCGGCGCGGCCCCGACCAGCCCATCTGCACCTCAGTCAATCGGGCGGCCCCGGGCGCGTCTCCCATGACTCATTGACCGCGCCGGGCCGTAACTCGTCTGTGACGGCTCTGTAGCCACCGCCGGCCGGCGTGTGCCGCTGTCGGACTCGGTACTGATACGGCGCTGCCGTGCCGACCCCCTGCCGTTCGGCGGTGTACAGGTGGCGGCGGCAGCGGGCCGTTCGTCAGGCGGTGGCAGAAACACCAGCCACCGCCGTCATCACCGCACTGCTGCCGAGAGGAGACACGGAACAGGGACATTGAGACCGGGCAGCTTGGTCTGTGTAGTCACAGCGCTGCCGTACTCCCTGTGCTACACAGCTGGCTGGGTATATCATGTGTCTCAGGTGTCTCTGGTGTCCTTTCGGCTGTCTGTGACTGTCTTCTGCTGTCCGCGCGGCTGTCACCGGCTGAGTACCTTCTCATTGTCGCCGTCTCACCGTCTCGCTGTTCTCTGTCTCTATGCTCGCCGCAGTGACGGACGACCGGCACAGCGCGGTAAATCCGACTCCGACGGGGACATGACGGACCGAGGGCCCCGTGTGGGACGGAGAGACTCGGCGTTGGAGACGATGGACATCCACGGGGGGGGGGGGGAGAGATGATGTATCCATTCCACACTCTACAGTCCACATCACGGTAGTGGACGGATATTTCACACCGTTGTGGATAAAGCACCCACAGCCCAGACCTTGGTGGATGAATCATCCACGTATTACCGCTTCGAGGTGGAGAAAAGAGGCGTGGCTTCTAATCGATGGAGAGGGAGAGAAAAAGAGGTGGCGATTTGACAGCAATGCGTCACGAATACGACTGGAGTGACTAATGGTTCGTAGCAGGAGCCTTCGTAGGCGCCCAGGTGTGAGGGGCGTGGCTGAGTCATCTGTTTGATTTCCGTCGCCGTGGCACAAAACTTTTCATCGAACTCAGGTCTCCGCGATCTTTTATTGCAAGAGACGGCTGTCAGCAGCCAAGCATTGAGCAGTGAACACGTCACAGTACATTGTGAACTACACTGGACACGCATTTGTCACACAAACGGTAGACTTGCAACAGACTGATGCCTGTAGTTTATTGCGCTGTCCTCTTCATTGCGATACACCGGGTACTTTCCTGGCCCTGGCTCTATAGAATGACGCAGGCTGCGAGCGACCCCGCTAACAGTCCGGCTACAATGCTCACTGAACTCGCATGACAGGATGAATAACGCGACAGAGGAAAGTGCCTTTTGGATGAGCTGTCCCGACTGACACATGGGTGAAACATTCGCCACCGGCGCCGTGTCACAGCCGCTCGACTGTTGTGTAACGCGGTCGGGCACGCGTCACTCCGCGGCTGAGGCGGCGTTCGGAGAGTAACTGGGGTTCCCTGGGATGGTCCGTGTTCACAGAACGGGGCTCCTGGTTAGTGCCGTTGCCTTTCCATGGGCCGCTGGATTCGCGCGGTAAAGAACTGAATGGTCGAATACTGCGGACATGGGTGTTAATTATTTGACACTCGTACGTGATTTTTAAAATATATCCTGTGTGTTAGGCTAATCTGGGGATGCACTCTAAGCGTTCACCGAATGCACTGCAGCCTGCACCCTTTCACACGAATTGCCCCTGCCACCCACGGCCGCTGTACGCCCGCCGGTGTCCTCTACCGTGCACAGTACCGCGCTCTGCGGCGTGGCGGCACCGGGTGATCACAGGCCTCCCCCGATCCACCCCGAGATGTGGTCACCCGCCCCACCCGCCCTGTCAGTCCCCCAGTCACCGGTAACCAGACTGACGTGTCCCGATCGCTCGCCAATCGCCCACCATCTCACACGAACGCCCGGCCCGCTGCGTCATTCAGGCGGTGGCCGATTTAAAAATGCTCGCCGCCGGCGCCGCTGTTTTTATTTTGTTCTTTATGGGATGTTTTTCGGAAGGCGTGTACACAGCCTGTAGGCGTATCGGTCGTATGTAGACTGGCCTACGGCGGCTTGGTTTGACGCAACCGCTGAGGAAAACCCGATCGCCTCGCGTGAGGCGCGCTGAATACTCTTCACGTGCTGCTCGCTTCAAGGTTTTCTGCAAAATAACTGTACCATGTTCGATTATGTAAGATAGTGTCCATGCTCAGACCGTCATTGCGTGCATTCACAAGGATTTGGTCATTGCTTGATGGGTGCCTTTCGGTACAATAGCAGGCATGTTTGGTGATTGGCCGGCACAAGGACGCGTCATCTAGGCGCTCTGTGTTTATCGGTTTACCAAACCGCCGGATTATAGGTCCGCGCTGGCGTCCGGCATCGATACGATGCGATAGTTTCGCCTTGATCGCGCGAAAGTCCGCTTCTGTTGATAGTTGATTAGAGCCCAACAGAACACGTCTTCCTAAATAGTGCTGATCGCTAATTTCTTACACTGGCGGCGCTGGCTGGAATTGATGGACGCTGGTCGAAAGTAAGGTGTTGATTTTGTGAGCTTCCATCAGCGAGAAATGCGTGCTGTGGGAGCTTCTGTCAGTCTCACCGATAAGCTGAACCAATCGCGATAGAAAGAGGGAAGGGAGCGGCAGATAGAGCAGAGACAGGTCACAGACAAGGGAGATACGAGAGGTGGTATGGAGAAAGGGACAGAAACAGGGAACTAATGCGGGAGATGACACATGGACTTGGGGCAGAAGAGCGGCACATATTTGTGATAGGATGTTGACAAATGACAAGATTCAGATAAGGCTGGAGTTCGGGGACGGATACAGCTATGAAGGAGGCAGGTAAAGTTTCTTAGTTTACAATGGCATGGTAACGCACATGACAGCATATCTATTTCTTTTGCAATAACCCAGTCACAAGACAAGGAGGACGGCTGAGAGAAAGCACAGCATAGATAGGGACAGGCGAAGAAGAGAAGAATAACAGTTGGACTTCGATCACGGTTCAGTGACAGAACAGAGGACACATACGGGACGTTGTCAGTACTCAGTGATACAGGACAGTGAGAGGGACGGACGGTGACAGGCCGGGTAGGGCCGAGGACAGGTCACTGACAGTGTCGGGACGGCCGGGGACAGGTCACTGACGGTGTCGGGACGGCCGAGGACAGGTCACTGACGGTGTCGGGAGATGGATCGCACCGCAGCCGACCCACACTGCCCCCGGGCAGCGGCGGCAATCTGTGCGTGTCGGTGCGCCACTGATTGTGTTCGATACAGAGCGCCGTCGAACTGCCAACTATGGCTCTCCCGGCGCCAGCCCCCTGTGGTACATCTCCATACGAGGCGAGGACGGACGGCGGGGGGGCGGCACTGGGGATAGGACGGTCGCGCGGGGGTACCCTGGGTCAGGGCAGCTGGCTGAACGGACCGGGGTGAGGGTGTGTAGCCGTGTAGCGGTCCGGTCACCCGGTGCAGTGTCAACCTGTCTTCATGCAATGCACCGAGACTGATTGATGCGTGATTGACGGCTGCCGCTTGGACCGTAGTCTGACAATGTCCTGACTGACAATGGACCTTCATGTATGTTTAATCGCCGAGGACACCATCTGGCACCTATCGGTGGAGCGATTGCGGTGCACTCGGCTTCGCTGGCTGTACGGCGACTCGGACGTGGCTGATACGGCTGGTGAAGCCGCAGCTGTGGCGCCACCTGTAATACTAAATCCACAGTTACCGCCAGGTGGCAGGGCTTCTTGGACCGTGGCATAGCACACTGCTCCGTCCACGTGACGGGATAATGTGGTTCCAAAATGTTTAAATGAAGCTAGTGCCCAAGAAACTATGCTTTCAGTGTTTTGTTAGTTGAGTATTTTGTAAAAGTTATCAAAACTATCAATTGTAACTACGGAAGACGTTGAGGAACTTAGGCTTTGTTTTTAAGACCTTGCTTTAGGCGACGGAGTTCAAATAAATCAATACGTTGAAGGAGATCGTCTCGTGTCGTTGTTGATCTGCTGATATCCCACTGATCTGGTGTCCAACACCCGGTGTCTCTATCTGTGTCTTCAGTGAGCCACATCGTTGACGCCCCTCTCCCACTCCCTCTGTCCTTCAGGCATAGTGTCTGACTTTAGTACAGTGTTGCGGTGCCGGTGTCTGTCTGTCTCTCTATATCCCCACAGACACCCTCTCCCGTCTCCCTCAGGCACGGTGTCCAGTCTGAGCGGCGGCACGCTACCCACCGCCCCCGTGGTGACGGCTAGCAGCGCGCACACGCTGCTCACCACGCAGCTGCTCTCACAGATCAAACAGAGCCAGCAGCTGGCGCTCCACCTGGCGGCCAGCTCGGCGCAGCAGCCCAGCTCGCTCCACCTGGCGGCCAGCTCGGCGCAGCAGCCCAGCTGCTCGTCCGGGGACGGGCCGCGGCTTGTCAGCAGTAGGTGGCGCCACCGGCGCGGGACGGGTGGACGAGCGGCAGGGACGCAGGGTGGCGGACTGGGAGAGGAGGGTCCGAGGGAGTCTCTTATTGAAATGCATTTGTGGGTTTTCCTCCGAAGCTGAGTTGCTTTGCGTAGTAGCTTTTAATTTTAAAGTCATTTCCTAGGTTACACTTTTGTTCTCGTAATTTCATATCGCTTCACAAACACGAACTCCTCAGGCTTACCGTCCGCGCTAGTGACAACACATGGTCATATGAGCTATAGATACCACACTAATGCTAAAAGCTCTGACCTGTGTCGTGTGTTCTGTCCGGCAGCGCCAATGTCGTCCCTGTTCCAAACGTCTCCAGGCCTGCTGCAGTTACCTGAGGGACTGGTCCTCCTCAACAGCCCCTCAACGGTCATACAGGCTGTGAAACCAGACCATGGTGAGTGGACAGATGGGTCCACAAGGGAGTGTTCGGGGTCTGGTGAAGACTGGTACTGCTCAGCAGTCTCTCCGCAGTCATACAGGCTGTGAAATCGGATCACGGTGAGTTGGTAGTTCTGGGAACCCCTGGCACTGCTGCTGCCGGCTGCTGATCCATCTTTATTACTGAGCGGGTAAAAGTAACCACACCTACACGAGCGGCGGTCAACAAGTAGTCATAAATGAATAAGTAAGCAAACACATAGATAATAAGGTAAAAAGTGTACGAAATCAAAATGCTGATTAAGCAAAAGGCGCCATGAATCAAGTGCTAAGGCACTTTTGCGCCAATTGCATGTTCATCTTATTTTTATTTCTGTCCATTTATGTTTGTAATAAAATTCGTTGTGTGTGTGTGTGTGTGTGTGTTAGGGCCCTAATGTTGACTGGTGTAAACTGGTTCTCCGAAACAGCTCGTCCACTTCTATATAGATTGGCAAAGCCGACCATGTCGAAAGAGCTGCTTGACTGAAAGGCCTCAGTGGGTGTGATGATTGTGCCTCTATAGAAATTCTTTTGATCAGGCATTTAATACTGAGAAATCGCACGGTATGCCTACGATCGTTGTATTTTGTCATGTACTCTTTATTTCCAGGATGACTCCTAACTCCTAGTATATGTTCCAGCTTCAAGTTCAACGTTGGTAGAGCTGTTGAACAGCTGTACCTCCGCGTCTTGTGAATAGTGTTGAACGCCGGCCCACTTACAACTTTTTTGCCCCTCATGGCTTTCAAGACCTCAAAACTAACTCGATGTATGTTCATTTCCAGCGGGTGAGCCGCCGAACAGCTCCCAGCCGACCGACCTCTCCAAGTCTCGCGTCTCCTCGTAATGTACTCAGCTGCGGGGATGGAGATCGGGGGAGAAGACCTCAGGCCGTCGTCTGCCTGCGGCTCCCCCTCACACAGTTCATTGCCCATGAGAGACGAATCGGACATCAATGTAAGTTGCACCCTGGCCATCCTTCGTTATCGTGGGAGAGGCAGTCTGATACAGCCTGTGGTCAGATGTCTAGAGGCTGGAGTGGGCTGAACATTACGGTGACTTGTGTGGGCGCGATGTGTCCAGCTGGCCCGAGGGAGAGTGTCGATGCTTTGAGGACGGGCTGAGAGGAGTGTAATGCGAGGTATTACCGAAATGGCGAGTTCAAACCTTGCATATCGTACTAGTCACGTCTTTTGTACGTAATCAATGTACGAAGTTTGTTGGTTGTTCATTTGGTTGTACTAAATTGAATGGAGAGAATGAATAGCGTTGAGTGTTTTCAAAACGCTTTCTGATTTATGATCGGTTTTAACGTATTATTGCTTGTTCTATTAACAAAAGCTATCGCAAAGCGTTTAGCGCGGAAGTACGGCTTTACATTGAAAGGACTGATAATGATAACTGCTTCCAGTACAGTATTGCGTGTACCTGTTGAGTAATAACTTAGCCCCCAATAATCAGTTAAAGTGAATGAACTTTGATGGGGCTGCCCCATGGACTTACAACAAATCAGTCTTTATTTATGCAGGGACTCAATATACATCTGGTCATCTACTAATTACGACTAGATAAGTCCTTTTCTACAAGCAGATCATGGCTGGCCCAAACCAAAGGTGCATGTTGCTCAATATTCAGCCCTATATGAGGCACTGCGTGAACGGCTGCTGTCTCCTCTGTCGCATTATACACCGTACCGCTCGCTCAGTTTGCTTTGCTGAGCTGGCCTGTGGCGCCTGTTGTACCTCCCCTGCGGCGCGGGCGCACGGAGTCTCGTGTATTGGCCTGGTGCCTGTGCCGCGCGCGAGAGGCGAGCGGGCGCTGGGCGGCCTGGCTAGCCCTGGGTCCAATGGGCGGCGTGTGCCGCGTGTCCCGTGTGGTCTAACCCCGTGTGCCGTGGTGTGAGTGTGCTGAGTGGCAGGTATCTCTCGCACCCGTCATTATGACACTCATGCACCTAGTTCGTCAGACAGGGCAGTGCCCCAGTGTTGCAACCTGCGTGCGTTGTTACTTTTTGTAATAAACTGACGTGCTGATACGGTGGGTTTCATTCAGCGCTGGATGGTGCCAGTTGGACGGAAGGTGAACAGTCTTTTGTAGAGCATTACCTCAGGCTGACCGCACGAATTGATAATGACCTCGCTATCGAAGCGCCCTGGAACCCAACAAAGAAACAAAATAAGTAAAGTCAGCACTTTGTGTAGTAGATCGACAACTATTCCAGCACAACTTGAAATAACGTACGACCTTGCGCGAAGTAAACAGCCTAGCTGTAAGAGTTGAAGGACGTTAACGTTAATGAATTGAGCGAGTTGCTTGATGATATGTGCGACGAATTGACGCCGATCGGTGGGCAGGAGGAGTGGAGCCTTATTAGTGGACACTAGAGGGCGCTTGGGTGGGCGAGCGGCTCCACCGGCTAGGGTTAGTCCTTTGTAGGGAGCAGCACTGAACCGCTCACGGCACATCGTACCAATGCAGTACCGTCCGTAGGTGGCGCAGCGATGGGAGCCAAGTCCTGGGCTTGAATTGAACCGTGTGAGCTGTTATAATGGTCAAGCCTTGAGAATCGTGCTTGGTTTTCAAATGTCACCTACCAAACTTTAATTCACGTTTGCTAGGAATATGGTGGCGCTTTGAAATTTCATTCGTTGGATACCTACTGTCAAGTGTCAATTCAACCTTTGATAGGCTTCTCCTTGGGTAAAGGCTGAGGGCATTCAAATGTAAAATAAGTATAGATAATGAAGTAGCTGTAAATGGACACCTGTCCACCAGTCTTCCTGTCGAGGAAGCTCGATAGTTCTCGATTTAGAATAGTGTAGGAGCTTCAATGCCCTATTATGCAATAGGTAAGGCATAGGAACAAGTTGGCTTTGAAAACTCTCGATCAGCGATATCTTCTGCTACTTCAAACTTGGGCCAGTGCAGTTTCGAGTTCGTCACTGTACGGAGTACGGATCTCACTCGGAGCCCTACGTTATGTAATAAACACCAGAGCCGACTAGCATGTGTGCAAACATGCCTCCCAGCTCCTAACCCTTGAGTGGGCTCGAGACGACTATCGGCGCTGTTTGCTGTCTTTGGAGTCAGAGCAATGACTCACGGTGAGGGCGTCGGGTCACTGAGTCTCTGTGGAGCAGTGCAGTGGGCAGCTGTCTGACAAAACAGGACGCCGGCTGATAAGGCATCCGCAGTTCATTCATGCATCAGCGCAGTACTGCGAAGCTGATGGTTTCTGGATTTGACTATCGGGCGCGTAGGTAGTAAGGGCTGCGTGGCAAGATATGAATGACTAAAGCTCCCCTCAGGCCCAGAATATGTGTAAAATCTCGACAGAACAACGACTGAAGAAAACATGTGACTTATCAAAACAAAAGATGAAAAATGCATGACAGCACTTCTAATAAACCACCTTAAAAGAGAAACGAACAATTGTTCGGGAGAATCTTATTCCAACTGAGGTCAGCTATATGATTTATACGAACGTAATTGTCTGTTATCCCAATTTCTTGGATTTCATTTTTCTTCGGCGAAACAATTTTTATCGGTACGTCATCCCCACGTGTCGCCCTATCCACACGTTTCCCAGTATAGCGGCCGATGCGTCTGCTCCCTCCCCATGGCACGCATCACACACAACGGCACGCGGGTGCGGTCGGAGGGGCCTTCCCAGGAGCTCCAGTGGGCTGAGTAGCCGCAGGGACCGCGGAGACTCTGACAGGGGCACAGCCGCCGAACCGACACGTCACTGCAGACTGTAATACCGGTCTTTGTTGTGGTCTGAGCGTGGGGACACAGGTATGGGAGGCCCCGCGCTAATGCATCGTAATGGCAGGAGGCTGAGAGAGGTGACATGACGCGGCACATGTGAGAAAAACCACACGGATTTTAGCACGGTGGTTCGAAGTAGCAGTGCATGAGCCATCCTGGTTTCTCGGTTCACTCATGTAAAGAGTGACGAATGTTTCAGGTGATACAACAGCTATTTATGTACCTATGTCTGCATCAGAAGCTGAATAACAGTGAATGGCTTGAAAGCGGGGCGCGTCGGGACCGTTTACCCATAATTAATACGCTGAATATGTCGGTACATATACACATACAGTCCTTTTTTAACGTGAAGCCGAAGAGGGCGAAAGCAAAGTGCGACAAGCTCTTGCTATGATTTTGTTTTTGGCTTGTCTTCCAACAACGTTCGATACCACCGTTCTATACACTAATGGCATAACCTGTTGGTATGTACGGAGAGTGGTGACTGGTGAACCGTCCATGGCAACATCGACGTATTATTCTAAATGTGTGTTTTGTTTTGTTGGGTTAGGCCCTTTCGGTCGACAAGACCATTGCAGAGCCGGAAGGATGATAGGATTTAGGGGGAGACATTGGTCTGGGCAGGCACCCTAGTGAGTCGCCGGGGCTGAGCCCGTCCAGAGGACAGGCCACCCAGCCCCAAGGCACTCACTGCACCCGGCTACGGGGTGCGCTCCTGTATTCTAAATGCTCTGCGTATGCTATTTACACAAACAATGGTTGGGCTTTGCTTATACCGCTTTGTGACGCATAACGCCGACTCATTTGCCATATGTTTATTTGAGCTGGGTCACTGCCATGACTCAGTGTCTGTTCAGAACTCATGCGGTACTTTGAGTGACTTCAAGACTAGTACCTACATTTGTGTACACGTATAGCAGAAATGCGCCGCCCCGGTTCCTAATGGTCCGTTCGGCCCGGCCCGATTGCACACAATAGCTCGGACGAGGAAGGCGCCAACTCTAGGAATCCGGATCATATTGTTTTGTCAACTGGCAAAAACGAACATGCAACGGTACCTACCCACTCATGAACGGTACATGCTGCGCAGTGCGCAGGTCGGTCCTCCAAATATCAGGAGTTGTAGCCACGGGGTGTGTCTGGGTGTAGGCCGTAGGTAACGTAAAAACAAAACGACTCAGCAAGCTAAGAGTTCTTATAACGATGATCGACAAATACTGTGTTGGTTGTTCAGAGAGAAATGACATTTAATATGCTGTATTGCCGGTTTTAAGATGTCCAAAACAAAATACATTCCAGTTTATTTTTAATCCTGTTCATAGGCGGCGGAACGGGGGGGGGGCACCGGGGCACCGTGCCCTCCCTTTGATTTTGCCATTTTAACATTAGCCCTATGGGCGTTGCATGGAAAGAATGAGACCAAAAGTCGGGAGTGCCCCCCCCCCCCCTATTGAAGGTGTTCCGCCGCTACTTGTCCTGTTCAGAGTAAGGATGGGTTTAGGGAAGGATGCGTCTACCTATCCTAAATGCATGAATGAATGAATGAATGAATGAATGATTGAATGAATGAATAAATGAATTAATTCATGAATGTTGAATGAGTGATAAGACCTTTTTTCTTATTTCTATAAGTTTGCATTTTGCTGCCTATTAGGTATACATTTCAGCACTCAACACATATTTTTGAAAAATCGTTTTACACTACGAGAAGTGAAGCCACACAAAGATGTGAGCGCTGCCACGTAACGTGGCATAGGTATCATAAGCCTCCACAATAAGCCATCAGTCTCAACAATAAATAGGCACTCGGGCTGTTTCTCGTGTCGCTCGTCAAGTTCAGAACATGATTCTAACCAGGAAGTGACCAATGCGGTCGCTCGTGTCTTTTGGTCATTGAACCCCACCAGACCAGACAATTTGGACTTACCTTCCCACTCTCGCTTCTTTTTGGGCACCTAATGACCACGAAACGGTAACGCAAATGTGCTTTCCAACATTTAATAATGGTCCGTGTTTCATGTGCCTTTTGTTTCGGCGTTGGTATACCTCCTTGGATTAATCACAACGTGTCCAGGAACTGACCCATGACGTGTATCTTTATTCGGAATGTACTATGTAGACTCATCGTGGACAATAGTCTATCGTGTTTACCAGCATGCCGCCGGCGTGTGTCACTGTGTAACTTATTGTCAAGAGCGGGCATACGTTTATCGTGATAGCTGATGCATGCACATACGGGTATATGCATCGTTTTAATGGCCAATTGGTGCTGTTTTGTAGCGCAATTAGTGCCGGGGTCCACCTCCAGTCCTCTATTCGTGCCGCCGACCGCCGCGCCGGCCTTGAGACGCCGGATGACGGCTGGCGGTCCGTCAGGAATGCACGGTTGACGGGTGACGCCGTCAGCGCGTCTGACGTCACCCACCAGTCTGACGTCACTGGCGGACTGACCGACCAATGGGCGGCGTTTCCAGGAGCGTTGCTCGGCACCTGGCTGCCAGCAGGAAGGGCCGCGCACGGACGCGGACGCCATTTTCCGGTGAACCGCTCGCGGCCGGCCGCGCCGCCGTGGCCGGGTCCTGATGGTGTGAGCTGCCGGCATGCAATACCCTGCGAGGGTCGCCGAATGACGTCATCAGGCGGAATCGATGCGCAATATGAAGGTTTGGAGTGGAAGGTTCCATACCACGATGCATGGTGCAGACGTCTGGAATTGTGCGCCGGTAGAAAAATGATGGAAGGTTTTGTATCAGCGCATGACATCACGTCATGCCGGTCGAAGCGAATGCACATCTATGAGCCTTGGTTCCATACATTCTAAAAATGCTTAGGTACAATGACTTCATTGGTTGTTAGAGAGAGAGAGAGAGAGAGAGAGAGAGAGAGAGAGAGAGAGAGAGAGAGAGAGAGAGAGAGAGAGAGAGAGAGAGAGAGAGAGAGAGAGAGAGAGGGAGGGAGAGAGAGAGAGAGAGAGAGAGAGAGAGAGAGAGAGAGAGAGAGAGAGAGAGAGAGAGAGAGAGAGAGAGAGAGAGAGAGAGAGAGAGAGAGAGAGAGAGAGAGAGAGAGAGAGAGAGAGAGAGAGAGAGAGAGAGAGAGAGAGAGACAGAGACAGAGACAGAGACAGAGACAGAGACAGAGACAGAGACAGAGAGCGAGAGCGAGAAGGAAAATTATTTGAACGATAATTGATTCACTTATCATTTTTAAACCTAAAACGTATTAACAGGAAAGTCGTCCTTTGCTTTC